CTTTGGCAATTTTTCTCTTCTTTCTTTTGCCCTTTTCCTCACCATTACCCTCATCATGATCCTCTCCATCACTTCCTATGTCCAAATATGATGTGTTAGCATCATCTGATGATACCTCTCTTGGAGCTTCATAAGTAGGCCCAACATTCTCATCTGCATTGGGCTTAATAGTAGGCTCAACATTCTCACCTGCATTGGGCTGAATAGTAGGCCCAACATTCTCACCTACATTGGGCTCACCACTTGGCCCCCCAACTACCACATTCTCATATACAAGCACCTCATCCTCTTGTTCATTGAATTCATAATCACTATCCACAAATTCTGGATCATTTTCCTCAATTTCCCCTTCATTTCCAACCTCTCCATTTTAGTTGCTGCAGACTCATTTTCCCTTTCATTTCCAACTTGTACATGTACATGTACATCTGCATCCTCTTATTCACTGAATACAGGCCATGTCACACCCTTACCATCATTTTCTACATCTGCATCATAGTTATATTTTGCACCATCCAAACTAGGTCACACAGCAAATGCTTGACTCCCAAGCCCATTACCATTTGAATTTTCCAAATTTGTATAGTACAACACAAGAACCCTATTACATGGCATGCATCCAACTATTTCAACTACTTTAGCATCAGAGGTAATAAGCTCCAATATTTTGTCCACCCTTTCTATACCTAATCTCCATAGTTCGCTCAATTTTCGAAACATCTATTGTATATCCCAACTCTTTCCCTATCTAAATAACAGACCTTACCACCCTTATAAACCCCATTTTCAAACATACCCTCATGGTGTAGTTCAAGAGTGACTCTGTCAGAAATAGCTGCAAAAAGTACACATGAAATCTCAAAGTTAGCTGCAGACACATCTCCTTTATCTAATGCTACAGGTTTAAGGTTATAATTTATTTACAGTTTCACTCAATGCACAATAGTGAATTTGGTGTGAAGCAGACAACAAGGGGACCACGTCAAACATAAAAACCTATACTTTGCAGTCAATGCTAGCATAAAGGAAACATAATGCTAGAGAATCTTTTAAACATAAAGAAACTGACCTTGGACCACACACTTGCAAACAAAAAGCATCAATTTGCAAAACAAGATGAATATAAAATGCAAACAGAGAATCCTTTACTGTATTTGGGATTCTCTCCACCCCAACGGAACTCGAACTTCATCAGTGACGAGCATCCACAATGATCGAAATCTAGAAATTTCCAAAAATCCCTAAATAGGAACCCTAACCCAAAATCTCTACTGTTGCCTTTGCACCTCACCTCCCTTTTTCGCGAACTGAAGACGATGTTTTTCGCGAATCAAAGAAGACAATCAAAGCGTTTTGAGGTTTAAAAAGACGCACATACCCTCTTAGGATTAAAAATACGCATATACCCATCCTATACCCCACCATTGGTGTTGACTTGACAAAAACTCACAGAAAATGTAACAGTAGAATCAATGGAGCGAATAATATAGAGTTCATGGGCCATTTGAACGAATAATTTAATTTAGGGACCAAAATGTAAATCGTGTATAAATTTGAGGATCATTTAAGTAATTTACCCTATATACGATTAACAATATTCAAAACACTTCTTATAATCAAAGATAAGGTGGCTCATCTGCGGTTTTTCAAAAGGCAAGCAATGTTTCTTTGTGAAGTAAGAGGCAACCAGTTTAAAGAATGCACAACACAGATCTTAAAACAATTCAATTTGTAGTTCTGCAAGTAGCTCAACAATGGAACAGAAACAGACAGATATCTTCCCTAGTTGCATTAGCTAATTGTTGATATTCGTTGGAGATCCAAACGATCAATAAGCTGAAGTCTGTTTTTCTAGACAACCTTTAACTCTTTGAGCCATGCTGTATGTAGGGGACAGGGATCAGGCTTTCCTGCCGCAATTGCCTTCTCAGATAGAGAGTAAAACCAACCATTTCTCCATTTAAACTGCAAGCACAAGGCAATCTCCAAAGTGAGAAACAAATTAAACTCAATAAGTCATGTATATGCTTAGTAAACTTAAAATTTATAATTCCATGCATCTCTAACCTCTTTAACTGCAGTTGGAAAGTGAGAAACAGAGCGGAGTCATATACATATATGCTTAGTAAACTTAAAATTTATAATTCCATGCATCTCTAACCTCTTTAACTGCAGTTGGAAAGTGAGAAACAGAGCGTGAGTATGCACATAATCGATCCTCCATGGCTTCTTCAAATACCAACCCTTTCTCTGCTGCTGCTGCAGAGGCAAGCTCTGCGATGAGGCTAGACACCTAAAATAATATTGATCAAGTTTTTTTATCAGTTCCCTTTCTCAGCACATAAACAATATGAGCTCAAAGTTTCCTGCACAACAACAAGAACTTCGGCTGGATTTCATTCTGTACTAACCTAAAAGTCGCTTCATGTCACCATATTTTATATGTCAAACATATCTTTGTCATTGAAATAAAAGATGTCTGCTGTTTTCATTGAGAATAGAGTTTTCACAGCCAACTGAAATTATGTAGAGGGGTTTAGCTGGACATAAATCAAAGAAAAACCTGATAGCACCAAAACCCCTGACAAAATTTACTTTCACCCAAGCTGGTTCATCTCCTTAAAAAGAAATGGAATAATGACACCAACCCAACATAATTTCCCAATAATGCTACTAGGCCTGGCCCATAACTAGTAACTATCAGCATTCTGTAACAAACACATGTTAATGGAAAATTAAAAACCTCATGAGACATGTTAAAAAAGTCACAAGACCAATGAGAACATACATGCAAATGAGATTATTGTTTCAATTTCTATTGTTGAAAATCACTTGACAAAGCAACAAAACCTCTATGTCACGTTAGCTAGGTAGCCATTCACGATGATGAAGGAAAAGTACACAAAAGAAAGCAACCTTAAAATTGGTATTGTAGCACATCAACTATATCAAACCAGTTAATAGTGAAATAAAACACAACAAATTGTTAATTATTTAATGACTCTGAAAAGTAATTGATTGCACTATATACTATCTCATCAGATTCCAGTCGTGCGATATAATTTCATCTCTCTCTTCATAATCCAGTCATGTAGTTCCATTTTGTTAGCTAATGCCTTACATAGAAGAATTATGATTGCCAAAAAGGTAACAACTGCTATTTAAATGTAAGTTTAGGAAATAAGAAGGCATGAATAAGAGGAAACATCCCTTTATTCATGGCATCTCCCAATCCGCAATTTAATTAAGAAGTAGAAATTGTTTGATAGGTTACCTCAGAGCGGTATTCTTTCTCTACACCACCTACAGTTGTTCCTGGATGACGAGCTCCAACAAGCATGAATGCTGAAATCCAGATCAACTTCTCTAACATCTGCTTCTGAAATGCTTCCTTGTTGAGAACCTGCTTCATATTTTCGTTCATTTATACAATTCTTCGGACTTATTTAAGTTTATCCCAAAACTGAAGGTACAAACTTAACAAACCCATACCCTTCAAACCCCCACCACCAAGAGAATGCCCAACAACTCCCTCCCCCTCCAAACCCCACAGAAGGAAAAAGAACAAATGCAATTGTTCAATATTTCCTTTTACCAAAGAAGAATGCTACACAAAGATCGATAACAAAATAGTGTAAAATGTTATGAAGATATTATTCTTTTACCTTGCAAGTAAGGCCTCCAGCCTGTAATCTTTCAGCTACTACAGATGCCCACTTCCCATATGATGCTGTCAGTCCTTCAGGATTGGTATCAGTCTTTCCATCAACAGGAGGTTCTCCAAGCTTGGAGACAGCAAAATATGCTAGCACTTGATCCGCATCACCAAGACCTTTACTTTCAAACCATGGTTCCAGCATTCCGTTCTGGAAAAAAACCAAATCTGCTAGATTGTCAAGTCCATATTGGGTCACATCCATACCTCTGCCAGAATCCAAAACAGGGCTTGCAAATGAAGGGAAGTAAAAAATCCAGACCAAATCATTCTCGGAAGACGTGTACTCTGACTTCTTTTTTTTTTTTTTTGGGAAGCAATGAAACTTGAAAACAAGGAAAGGAGAGAAAGTTATGAAGGCTTGAACATGTATTTCAACAACGTAATGTGAACAGTTAAAAATTTCATTATAGGTAGGTAAACCTGATACCAGCCTACAATCTATAAACAACTAAGTTAACGGAAGTGCTACAAACAAAAGCTAGGGAAATTCGGTCACAAACTCCAGACCCTTTTATCAATTTTACAATCTTCGAAAACTAGCAACAGCAAATCATTGAAAGACAATGGACCAATTCATGAAAGACGGAAGAAGTCACAGGACAAATGATCAGTTTCACTACATTTGATATGTTTTTGTCAATAACAAGTCAAACTATACAACTATGATAGACATAACAGCCGCCTTCAAAATCTAGTCTTCTTATTTGGACCCACATGATTACCAGCTTAATATATAACAAGTAACAGTTATAAGGTCTATTTTCTAGATACATCACTCGGAATATGAGTTTATACTAAGAATTCCAAGGGAAACACAATGTAAGCACCCTATCCATTAACCAACAGTGCAATTCAACATTGACATGCCACCACATGTGATGTCTATAAATACTTGAGCCAGTTTGCTTCAGAGCCAAGGCTGCCTATCTGATAATCATACCCTAGCAAAAAGCTAGGGCAACAGGGGATGGTGATGCTAAGCTCAGTATTGTGGTTAAATATTAAGTACATTCGGAAAAACTAAGCACACGAAAAGACAAATCTTAGTATTCCGTTAGCATCATGCTTCATGCTTTATGCTTCTATTAAGTCACCCCAAATGCAGTAGGTTTTCCAGCATAAAAGTTATCTGATCTAATGATCGAGATAACTTCAGAACTGTACCTTAGACAGGGTTTAAAGCCAAAAGGACTCATGCACCAAGAACAAGGATAATAATTTCACAAGGGTATGCATAAACATTAGTTAACATTACGACAAAAGTTAACCAAATTATTCTAACAGCCCATTGAATAAAACAAGGTTATTGGCATTCAGTCAAAACTCCCAAAGTCAACTTCCAAATTCAAAGAAAATTCCCAACAAAAAAAAACATGACCATAAGCATCAACTTTTCTCTAGCATTACAGAAGAACACACGCCCAATATCGGGTTTGATTTGTTTTTCCTTCTGATAAAATTAAAACACACCCGATTATTATGCAAATCCTATATACAAAATTGAATCACAAAACCACCTAAATTTCACTTCAAACAACTCTCAACAATCAATCCGAACTACTCCATAAAAACTTGCTAACTACCATTCCTCATTCTCAGATTAAAAATAAATAAATGCAATCAGATCGCAATACCGTTCCATCTAGGCCTTGGAGTGGCCTCAAGAACAGCCTCAAGATCATCATTCCTAGTGCAAACCAAGATTGGACCTTTGAAATCAAGAGGCACAGGGTCTCCTCTTTTCACCAGCAAGTCATCACCATTGCCCATGTCCTCTAAGGCTCTGCCAACCCTTCCACCACCGACTATCACTGCAGGTACCACCTTGGTTTTGGTGGTAGAAGCCATGGCAATGGCTGTGGAGGCCCTCGCTTTGATTCTTAGGGTGAGTGTTGAAGTGAATGAAATGGGTTTTCTAGTGAGGTGGAAGAGAGTGGAGCTAGAGAGTGTGAGTGTGTTGTTGGCCATGGGTGGAAGTGTTAGAGAGGATAGTAGTCAGCGGGGACGTGATGCTTCTTTGGATTTTGAAGTCGGTTTGTTTGTTTGTCTCTCTCACAGGTTGGAGTGAGGAGTAGAAAGAGATCAGCCACTCGTTTTCGGTAATGGCCTATCGGTCTATCCATATTGTCAAGAAAGACAATTTTAGAAACCTAGCTTTTTAGGTTTTCTCCAACCCATTCGGGGCTAAACTCAAATTTTTCCCCTCCAAAAAGTAACTATTTAGATTTTGTCCGGACTCAAACCGTTTTTTCCTCAAACTCTTTCATACTCAACTTTAAGTCCGCAACTTTATTAAATTATTTAAGAATGGTTTAAGTCTAATTTTTTAAAATGGATAATGTTTCTTCGTTTAATCTTTTTAAATAACTTCATAATTTAATTTTTTAAACAATTTAACCTAAAAAAATTGAAATTCCACAAATATAATTTTGGTGGATTATTTGAGAAATGGGTAGGTATTTATAGAGTTTTGAGTGAGTTTTGGGGTTGGATTTGATTTAGATTAATTTAAAATATTATCTTGACCATTGGATTTAAATTTCAGCCGTTGGATTTTTTTTTACCGTTAAAGTAGCATGGATTTAATATAGATCGTTGATTTTGGTTACTATTGGAATATATATAAGGGATGTTTGAACCAACGGCAACATCATGAGCACATGACATGTGGCGCTACAAAGTCTGCAGCTGCACATGGGCTGTATCAAAAAAAATTCCAATCCAAGCAATAGCTGGACTGGTATTTGGCCCCAAGTTTGGATTTTCCCAAATTTTGGCCCCTTGATTTTCTTGGGTTGGGAAAAGAAATGGGCTAAAATTTAGGATATTTTAGGTTTGGCCTCATGGGTTGGAGATGGCCTTAGTATCATTTGGCTTTCGGCCACCGGATCGAAATGGGTAGCCTGAGATTCGATGGGCTAAAGCCCGGCCCGGCTTAATGGTTATGTCTACTTGGTTCGGCCTATTCGGATGGTGTATCCAATCCAAACTTTCATAGAATTGACAAATTCTTAAATACTTTCATAGATGTGAAAAAAGTTACTAGTAAATTGGCAAGACTTTTGCTCTTAACAATTAGCCTTAAAAGTATGGAAAAGTCATTCATTTAATAAGCTTTTTAAAAGTCATTAACTTTTTGGATACCATCAAACTTTTTAAAAGTCACAACTGGATACCACCAAACTTTTAAATACTTTTAACTACTTTTAAAAAGTCACAATTGAAAACCACTAGACTTTTATAAACTCTTTGAAAATCTAAATTGAATACCTCTAGACTTTTAAACTCTATAAAAGTCATTAAAAGTTTGAATTGAATACACCCCCCTTGGGTAGGCCTTGGGCTTAGGATTTGAAACCTCCGACCCACCCACGACCAGGCCCGACTAGGCCCGCCTATTTGCTTTGTGTGTTTTTTTTTTTTTTTCCATATATTACCTTATTTTCATTCTAACAATTTAAGTAAATGTCTTGTCGTTTACTTTAATTTATTTTTATATTACTTCATTTACTTAAGTTTACAATATAAATATGGAAGTACCCCCTGTTGGGGTCTTTTTTTGTCGGAAGGCTCGTCCGGGTTTGTTGATTCTCGAACCGCCATAGAGTGGTGGATTAAGTCTTCGTTGCCCTTTTTTCTGAGTTAGCGAGG